ACACATGTGCTGAACATAGGGGAAGCCACTCCTTCACTGAGGCCCAGGCGTTCCCGTTGATTGTCTCTACCATCAGACTTAACTCTTCCGACGGGGGGCCCCAGGGGGGACTGGATGGCTCGGGGCGGGAGCTCTGTTGACCCGGACGGAGGCCGAGCTGCTGACGAGGTCGACGTGACCTGGCCCAGCAACAGCTCGGCAGCAAGCATCAGACAGTGAAAAAGAATGAGGAAATTGAGTGATGCGCGAGCCCCCCTTCTCACATTCCTCCGTCAGAAGGGGGGCCTCCACTGCTACTCTGGCCAGCAGCCAGCTCACGCGCACGGGCTCGAACCTGGTCCAGGATGCCCATGGGGGCCGGGGCCACGGCCGTCGCAGGGTCCTGGGAGCCCGCGGCTCCCGCGCCCGCGTCAGGAGCCCCTGCCCCAGCTCCGCCAGCAGCTGCCTGAGCGCCTTGGCCATCGTCAGCGTCTCCTCCAGCGGTGGCGCCGCCCTCCTCGTCGACGCGCCGCTTCTTGGCCGCCAGGCGGGTGCGCAGCTGCTGGTGCGCTGCCTTGGCCTGCTTGGCCTGGTCCACGGCCTTGGAGAATAGGTCCTTCGCCAGCCCGCGGATGGAGGCCATGAGCTCCTCCTTGCGCTTAGCTGCCTCTGCGACGTCCTGTTCCTCCATGGAGTCGTCGGGGCCGATGTCCAGCAGGTCGCCCAGGTCGAGGTTGAAACCGTCCACTTTGTCCTCCAATAGGTCGGCCAGGGCAATGGTGGGACAGCTGCCAGCAGCACCGTCGGGGACCTTAGGCTTGATGGCCTTGGCCTTATCCGTGAGCTCAGCGTGCACCTTGTCGAGCCCCTCAAGCTCGCGAGCCATGGTGAGAATGAGAGCCTCCTGCGCACGCAACTTTGCCTGCATGCCCTCCATGACCTGGAACTCGTGCTGCATGCGTTTGCCGAGCTTGTTCCTCTCGCGCTGCGTGCGCGCCAGCTGCTCCTCCAGCGGCTCGTCGCGCTTGGCGGGCGGAGGAGGAGGAGGAAGAGGAGGAGGAGGAGGAGGAGGAGGAGGAGGAGGAGGAGGAGGAGGGGAGGAGGGGGAGGACTGGAGAGAACGGGGGAGCGAGGAGGAGGAGGAGGAGGAGGAGGAGGAGGAAGAGGAGGAGGAGGAGGAGGAGGAGGGGGGATGATGAGGAGAAGGAGGAGGAGGACGAGGAGGATGAGGAGGAGGAAAGGAGGAGGAGGACGAGAAGGAGAGGGAGGAGCGAGGAGGAGGAGGAGGATGAGCAGTTGGAGGAGGAGGAGGAGGGAGGAGGAGGAGGAGGAGGAGAAGGAGTAGGAGGTGGGGGAAGAGGAGGAGCAGCAGCAGCAGCAGCAGGAGGAGGAGGAGGAGGAAAGGGAGGAGTGAGGAGGAGGAGGACGAGCAGCTGGAGGGGGAGGAGGAGGAGGAGGAGGAGGAGGGGGAGGAGGAGGAGGAGGAGGAGGAGGAGGAGGAGGAGGAGGAGGAGGAGGAGGAGGAGGAGGACGACGAGGAGCAGAGGCTGTCCTTCCTCGCTCGTCCTCTTCCTTGCTCCTCCTCCTCCTCCTCCCCCTCGTCCTCCTACTCCTCCGACTCGGGCGGGGGGCACGCGAGGCAGTCCCAGGCACTCGACTAAACGTGAGAGTGACCTTTGGTGCTTGGGCCCCCCCGATCGCTGAGCGCGAGGTTGCAGTGGCGTCTCGCGCGCTTGTGCTCGGCCTTCCCCAGGGCCCCCAAGGAGCCGCGAGGTTACGCTCAAGTCGGGCATGTCCCTCTACAGGAAGAACATCAAACATAGTCAAACAAATATGGGGGCGTTATTTTGTTACTATTCCTGAGCATGCTTGCTTCTATGGTTTAGGTATCTTGCATCTGTCGTCCAAAATCCGTCCGTCGGAGGACACGCCCGACCTAAGCTTACGCTTGCCATCGCTTCCCCAGGGTCACTCCTGCGTGTAGTCCAGGGGGGCGCGCGAGGCAGTCCCGGGCATGATCGAGTCGCTGTTCGCGGCCGTCTTCGGGCTCCGGAGGCCCTCGCTGGGCCTCGGGACCGGCCCGTTGGGGGCCGTGCGGGGGCCTCTCCTGGACAGGCTGGGGACCCTCCCGAGGAAGGTTTCTGGAAGGTCTTCAGTTGGAATCCCTTCTGAAGCCCTCCAAAAAACGATTCGGGATGAGAAGCGGGTCCCAGGGGATGGGGTCGAGGCTTCGGGGGGTCGACGTCCTGGGGACCGCCCGCAGAAACGACGCGCAGGAAGAGCTGGTGCCTCGAGGGCAGGTCGAGGACTCGGGAGACCGGCGTGCTGACAAAAGTCATGACGCTGGGGGTTTGGTGAGGCAGCTCGGGGCAGACGTCGCGGGGTCAGCGCTAATGGGGGTCAGCCAAACCCTTTCGAGATCATCTGTCTGTCCAGGGACGACGACGACGACGAGGAAAGACATAGGACGACGGCGACGACGACGACGACGAGGGAGGAGGGAGGACGGCGACGACGACGACGACGACGACGACGCAAGAGCGCGCGCGCACGGTTTTGTTGAAACTCCTGGTTGCGAAACCTTGTGTTTTTGTATGTTTCTTGGACACTAGATTTGGAAACCCTTTCCGAAACCGAAGGTTTTCTTTTAAAGGATTTTGGCATGCGCTCGCGACGACGCGCGCTCGTGCACATCGTTTTTTTGCAGAGGATTCTTGCGACGGCACGCGCGCAAGGGAGTTCGAACGATTTCGACATGCGCGCGCGAAGGCCCTGTGGTAGTATGTTGTGAAATTCTTGAAAAACCTATGCTGTCCTCAAGGTTTCGCAAGAGCGCGCGTGTAAGTTTCTTATGCAACAAAAAACAATCAGTGTTTCGAAACCATGTGTGTTTGTATGTTTTTTGGAAGCTCGATTTTGGAATCTTCCGAAACCTAAGGTTTTTGAAGGATTTTGGCATGCGCGCGCGACGACGCGCGCGTGTGCACTTTTTGAGAACTTACGATTTTCGATGAACGAGTGCGCGCGCACCGTTCTTTGTTATAGGATGGCGGGGGGGGGCGATGCCGGCTGGGCTGGAATAGTATGAGTTCAGATTGGGGATGGGCGATGGGGCAGAATCGTATGTAATTTGCAATACGACAAGGGGGATCGTTAACTCCGGGGGGGGGTCTATTCTTATTTTTGAAAGGAGAATCTGCGTGGTGCAGTGTACGGGGCGCAGTTAATATCGGTTCGCAGTGTGTTGTCAAGTCTACTGCTCGCTCAATTATTCCACCCACTCGCCCGCAACTTCGTCTTCACAAAAATGCGGTGGCGATTGCGATGAGTGCTTGGCGTTGGCTGGTCCATTTCTGCGGCCGCGCCGACCCAAGAACGTGCGCGGTGGCCAGCCAGTTTGGCGCGACCGACGCGGCCGCGGTGGCGCTGACCGCTGGGCGCACCCCAGCGGGCACTTCATTGCGAATCGGCGACTCGTGGCATCATAGCGGTAGACACGATGACGATAATAGTAGCGATGTTGCTGACGATGTTGACAACGGCGACGGCGCGGCTAGTCTGGGCGCTGATGCTGATCACGCCGACGACAAAGACGGCGTCCTCGGGTCGGTGATGAAGGTTTTGGAAAGAGTTCCACATGCGCGCGCGTCCGACGCGCGAGAGTGGTTCGCATGGTATGTTTTGAAAGTGATCGTGCTCCCCCCCCACCCAACGCACGCGCAAGGGCGCGCGAATGATATCGGCATGCGGCACCAGAGGCCCGCTTGGTAGACGTCCATGAACCATTTTTCATAAAACAACAATGGTTTCTGGATGAACCCGCAGGAGCGCGAGCGCACGTTTTCTTGAAAACTGATGCTGCGAACCCATGTGTTTTTGTATGTTGTTTGGGACACTCGGTTTTGAAATCGCTACGAGACGAATGGTTTTCGATCGAATTCGGCATGCGTGCGCGACGACGCGCGCGTGTGTACCTTGCCACATTGTATGCAAAGGGTTCTCGCGACGGCACGCGCGCAAAGGCGTTCGAACGATCTCGACATGCGCGCGCGAAGCCCGTTTGGTAGCATTTTGGTAGCATTTTCCGTAAATCCGGACGGCTGTTTCCTTTTTATATAAGAGTCGCAAACGGCGCGCGCGTGTTATTTGTTTGGACATCAGTGTTGCGAATCCTTGTTTCATTTTGCTTTTTTGCGCAAACTCGATTCTAAATTCTTTCGACACCGAAAATGTTTGACCGATTCAGGAGTGCGCGCGCAACGACGCGCGCGCGCGAATTTCGTCACATTTGTTGTTCGGGATGTTTGACACTTGGTGCTTTTTATCAACGAATGTGCGCATAGTGTTTTCGCGAAGGATACCCTGAGGGGACGGATATCGGCCCCCTCTGACGGTGTAGATTCATTCATGATGGGCGATGGGGCAGAATCATTTGTACACTGCAATACGAAAGTGGGAGCGGATAGTCCCGGGGGTGGGGGGTAGAATCCAATCATTTTTGCGAGACAGGAGTATGTATGTTTCGCAGTCAGCGTGAAACAGTACGAAGCAAACAACGCAAAGAGGCAGCGTCGAGACGGCGACGGGGCGGCGACGGTGACAACAAAGCCGCCAGAGCGCCGCTCAGCCTAGACCGCGGGCGGCGACATGGTGACGTCGGGGCGGCGGCGGCGACAACATAGCCAACATACCGCCACTCAGGCCCAGTTCTGTAGACCACAAGTAGGAACCCCTAAGTACAAGCACTGTTTGGAGAAAAAGGGTCCCCCGAGCTCTCTACCTCTTCTTGTGGACTTGCTTTGAGTGCTGGATCGTTTTTCTTGTCCTGCAGCCCGATTGCCCCACTTGGCTAAAACATTCGCAATGGTTTCTGTATTGTTTGTTCAAGACGATGGAGGTCTGCGTCTTTATCCCCCCCAATCCCTCCCTCCCCTCTCATCTCCCCATCTGCGTCTTCTGGAGCTTCTGTGGGCTGCTAGTATCAGTCCCCCCGAGACCAGGACAAACATTGACCAAGACATTGGCAAGTCGGGGTCCGTAGCCATTTTTTGGCTGAAGGAACGCCCTTTGCCCTCACACTCGATCTGACTTCGCCTCCCCTTTCTTCTCGTTCCAATGCCTCTGGACGCGCGCATGGTGCGGGACGTCCGGGAGTGGGCTCTTGCGGAGGCGAGCCCCACCGAAGTGACGCTCTGCCTACACAACATGCGCTGCGACACCGAATCGCTCACCACCACCGCGCTCAAGCACCTCGTGGACTCCACGGACGTCTGCGGGGAGTACGACTTCCTGCACGTGCCGATGGATTTTGTGTCGAAGAAGTGCTTGGGATATTCGTTCATCAACTTCACGAGCCCCGATGCCGCCCAGAGGTTCACGCGCGTCGTCGCCGAGGGCATGCTCTCCCAGTTTGCCGCCGCCGGCCCAAAGGTGATGCGCGCGATCCCCTCCAAGAAGCAGGGGCTGGCGGAGTGCCTCATCTCCTGGTTCCGCGGCCACTCGCGCAGCGTGCGGAGCGCGGAGGTGTTCCCATTCGTGCGATCGCTCAGCCCGACGGTGCAGATCAACCCCTACCTCGAGATGTCGCTGCAGTTGAGAAGGCCGCGCAGCGGGGACATCCCAATGCCAGCTTTCGCCCGCTGCCACGGCGCCGAGGCCGGCTTCCAGCAGTGGAAGGAGGACGCGGACCTCTCTTACGAAGTCCATTGGTGTGCCTTCGCGGTGCCCACTTGCAAGTCGATGCAGTACATCTCTCTCTGATGCACCACGTCTTTGGCGTACCTTCTTGCCAACGCAGGACCCTTCAGTGTCCACAGCCCGACAATGAGGAGGAGGAGGCAAATCTCCTGGCTGCGCGTGACGTCGGCCACCCTGATACTTGACTCCTTTGCCCTGTAGCCGTCCACTACTGGGGGTGGGAGGAGGTGGGGGAGGAGAGGTGGTGGAGGAATATGGGGAAACTTCTAGACACCTCGACTGCGAATGACTTGCATAGTCTGTATGGTGCGACGGCTAGAACGGACGTCGGCCACCGCGACGCGTGACCCGTTCGCAGGGCGACGTGCAATGCCATGGCAGGGTAATGGGCGGAGATGCCGCGGCGCAGGGCGAAGGAGGATTGAGGAAGAGGAAAAGTTTGGGTATGACAAGGCCTGTCGTCTCGCTTACCCCGCTCGGCACGCCGCAAAACCTCGTCTTCGCCGCCCCTGGCACAGTCTCTTCCGCCTTATTGAGGGCCGCCCAGTGCCGGGCGCTTGGGCGAGGCACACGGCTCTGCCGGTAAGGGGTTGGGGTGTTGTGGCAAGGGTGCCTAGGCTATGGCTTGCGGCCCGCAGTTCTCTCGGCCAGCTGGGCTTGCGCTAGGGGGCCAGCAGTTCTAGAGATTTGCAGTGGGACATGCGGATCATGCCGTTTCACGGCAGGCACGATTGATGTAGTCTTGTGTAGCCGTATTTGGGCAGGTGTGTTGACCACACCAATATCCATGCAGAGCGCATTCCTGCGCACCAAGGATCGGGCACCCCTGCGCACCAGGGGCTTGGCCAATATTGATCCGTATACTTCGCTGCGAGCAAGGCATGGCTATAAGTTCATCTAATACGGTTGTTTGCAGCTGGATTGTTGCGGCTTGCTTGCACCAGCTGCCTCGCTTATACTAGGCTCCGTCGAGCAGACGTACCAGTAGGTGATCGTTTTCTTATTATTTGTTTTGCCGATCGGCGCGGGCCCTCGCACCCCCCTCCCCCTCCCCCCATGGAATAGCTCTTGGCCGCTTTGGGCGCCTGTTTCGAGCAGGCGGAGTCTCCCCCATAGGACGCACTGTTGCAAACAGTCGCATTCAGCAGACGTCCCGAGCCAGACCCCCCCCCTCCTCTCCTCCTTCCGCCCAATGCCGAGACGCCGAATAAGAAGTAACGCTCATTCGCCAAACTGTGCCCAGAGCGGTCACTCAGTGCGGCACCCCGAGCGGTCTCTCAGAATGCAGAGCATTAAGAGCGGCCTCGCAGAGTGCAGCACCCAGAGCGGTATTGCGGCTCTCCACCTTCCCAGTGGCTGAGTGGTCCTCTTAGCTCCTTCTGAGGCGTCGTCTTATCTGATCGCACCACCACTCTGCCCCTTGCTCCGCGTTCCTTCTCCTCCTTCTCCTCTTCCTCCTCCTCCTCTGACTATCGCCATCGGCCGAACCAGGCCGTCCCCTTGCAGTGCGCGGAGAGCTAGGGACACACGCGCCCGCCCGGCGTCTCGCCTCTTCGCTGTCCTCCTCCTGATTTGGTGCTTCCTCTTCTCTGCGCGGAGACGTGGCCTAGCGACGCGAAGGCGGCCAAGAACGGCCTGTCCCCCCCTCCCCCGGCCTGTGTCAAGGGCTGTGGCTCGCAGGCCAGGGGGTCAGCTAGAGCGTAGTTTCATCCGCCCACTGTTCCACTTTTCTACTGCGCATCTGCCTGGCGCGGCACGAGGGCAGCGGTCTCCTCCCCAGTCGTGGTCCCCGCGTCTTTCACATCCCTCATTCCAGTTAGTCATTCCCCCCTCCGTCGTCCATTGGCTCTCACTGTGCCCCAAGGCATGCCAGCCATGCTTCTCGCTCTGCGAGGCATCCGAAAAGGGTGATGTATGTCCGATCAGTAGTATTCCATACTATGTTTTGAGTCCCTGCGCGAGAGGCAGAAGTCTGATCCGCAGCATCCAGACATTAGGGGCCAACAGCGCTGTCCAACCTCGAACGCCGCTTTGCGCGAGAGGCTTACGAGATGGGTAGCATATGTCTGATCAGCAGTATCCAGACCAAGAGTTTTCCCCCCTGTCGCGTAAGTCAGACGTCTGATCAGCAGAATCAGAGTTTATTGTAGGCTTCTTGCGCGAGGAGCCCGACACGGGATATGTCATATCACAGAGATTCGCATGAAGTCAATGATCCGCAGCATCCAGACATTAGGGGCCAACACTGTCCAACCTCGAACGCCGCTTTGCGCGAGAGGCTTACGAGATGGGTAGCATATGTCTGATCAGCAGTATCCAGACCAAGAGTTTTCCCCCCTGTCGCGTAAGTCAGACGTCTGATCAGCAGAATCAGAGTTTATTGTATCGGGATATGTCATATCACAGATCGGTGATTCGCGAATGCTCTCACACTCTACTCCATCCCCCTCCCCGCCTTCAGTCCCTCACTCTCAATCGCCCGTTCACCAAACTCTTCCACTCGCTCCGTCAACGATGAAGGCCGCGCCTCACTTTTGCTAGCCAGGAGCAGCACTACCACTATCGCGACCACGCCATAACCAACACCCTGGAGCAATAAAGGGGGGCTCCATCAATCTATATATATATATATATATATATATATATATATATATATATATAGATCGGAGTAGGCCGGGGTGGGGCCAAAACCGGTGCCATCATCCCCCATGGGCGCCCCCCCGAACCTTTGGGGGGTCACAGACCCCCCGGGACTTCCCCGGGCCGCTTCCAAATTGCCCACGACAGGCCACGCGGGCCGTACAGATCAAGAGGACCCGAAGACGCCCACGAGCGCCCCAAGAGGGCCCGTCTTGAAGATGGCCGACGAGGGCCCCAAGAGGACCTTCAAGAGGCAAACATCGGCCCATTCCCCTCGTAAAACGTACATTTCGTTGGCTTCGTCTTCACAGTGCCCCAGACGACCCCGAGGAGCCCCAAGACGGCCCAAGAGAGACCCAAGAGGGCCCCAGACGGCCCAAAAGGGTCGGCCTGTGGGGCTCACGGAACCCCCCGAGACGGCCCAAGAAGCCCCAAAGCCTGCCCAGGAAGCCCCCAAGACGGCCTTAGGGAGGCCCAAGAGGGCCTCGTTCGAAATCATGTTCCCGGAAGCCTCTCTGGGAACATGATTTCAGGGTTCCCAGGACGCCCGAGAGGCCCACAAGACAGCCTCAGCGAGGCCCAAGAGGGCCCGAGATGGCTTGAAGATGGCTGAAGAGGGTCCCAAGAGGGCCTTCAAGAGGCACAAATCGGGAGTAAAACGTACGTTTTCAGCATACTCGCTTGCTTCGTCTTCACAGTGCCCCAGACGACCCCAAGGAGCCCCAAGACGGCCCAAGAGAGACCCAAGAGGGCCCACGACGGCCCCAAAGGGTCGTCCTGTGGGGCTCACAAAACCCCCCGAGACGGCCCAAGAAGCCCCAAAGCCTGCCCAGGAAGCCCCCAAGACGGCCTTAGGGAGGCCCAAGAGGGCCTCGTTCGAAATCATGTTCCCGGAAGCCTCTCCGGGAACATGATTTATGGGTTCCCAGGACGCCCAAAGACAGCCCCCAGATGCCCCGGACACGCCGAATATGGCTTCAGGACGGCCGACGACGCCGCCAAAACGCCCCAAGAGAGCCTCCAGAGGCCCCTCCAAATGGCCCCAGAAGCCGAAAATCAATAATTTTCCAATGGTTTTTGAAGCATTCTTGCGCTCTCCCATGGACCGCATCAGAGGCCCGTCAGATCGCTCCAAGACGGCCGAAGAGGCTCCCAAGAAAGCCCAGAGACGGCCCAGGAGGCTCCCCAGATAAGTCAAGAGGGCCTCGAGAGCGCCCGAAGAGGGCCTCGAGAGCGCCCCAAGAGAGCCCCAAGAGCGATCCAAGAGGGCCCGAAGAGCGCGACATTTCAAGGTCTCCGTCCGGCCTGAGAGGCTCCTAGGACGCCCCCGGAGGCCATCAAGAGGCTCCCACGAAGCCCCGTGAGGCTCCCAAGAGACCCCCCAGAAGCCCCAATAGGCCCCCAATGGGCCCCCAGGGAAGCCCTCTGCGGGCCCCCAAGACACTTCGGTAAATCGTATCTCCCAGATAGCTTTCGGGGAACATGATCCCTTGGGCTTCCGCCCACCGCCCCAACCATGTCTCCAATGAGCTTGCCGACAAGGCCAAAAGGCACGCCTCGGTAAGCCCCCAGATGCCCCCCTCTTAGAGAGCCGAACAAATCATGCTTCCCCGGAAAGCTTCCCGGGAACATGATTCTCTATCTCGGAGTAGGCCCGGAGGGGGGCGGGCCGTTGCTTGTTCCCCCCATCGGTGCCCACCTGGCGTTGCGGGGGGGGGGTCCAGAGCTCCCGAGGCGGCCCGAGCCCGCCCCGAAGCAGGCCACGACGGGCTAAGGGGGTCCCGTGAGGGCCCAAGACGGTCCCACGAGGCCCCGAAGACGCCCAAGATGCGTTCAAGACAGCCGACGAGGACTCCAACACGCTCCAGGACGGACTCAGCCTCCCCAAGAGGGCCCTGGGAGGCAAGATTCACTCGTTTTCCGAGTGTTTTGGATTTTGGCGTTCTCGCTTTTCCCGCTTTCCAGCTCTCCCTCGCGGCCTCGGAGGCCCTTCAAATCGCTTCAAGAAGGCCCACGAGGCCCCGAAGAGGACCCCAAGACGGCCCAGGATGCTCCCCAGACAACCCAAGTGTGCCCCAAGAGCGCCCCAAGAGAAGGCCCAGAGGGGTCCCGAGGCTGCCCGGGCCCGCCCCGAAGCAGGCCACGACAGGCTAATGGAGGTCCCGTGAGGGCCCAAGACGGTCCCATGAGGCCCCGAAGACGCCCAAGCTGCTGCCCTCAAGACGGCCGAACAGGACCCCAACACGCTCCAGGACGGACTCAAGAGGCTCCCCAAGAGGGCCCTGGGAGGCAAGATTCACTAATGTTCCGATGGTTTTTGAAGGATTTAGGCGTTCTCGCTTTCCCCGCTACCCAGCGCTCCCTCACGGCCTCGCTCGGAGGCCCTTCAGATCACTCCAAGACGGGCCACGAGGCCGCGAAGAGGGCCCCAAGACGGCCCAGGAGGCTCCCAAGACAACCCAACTGTGCCCCAAGAGCTCCCCAAGAGAGGGCCCAGAGGGGGACCGCCAACCGATATTTCGAGGTCTCTGGCTCTAGGGGCCGCCTGTAGGCCCCCGGAGGCCATCAAGAGGCTCCCACGAAGCCCCGTGAGGCGCCCAAGAGGCCCCCAGGAAGCCCCAATAGACCCCCAAGGGGCTCCCAGGGAACGCCCAAGAGGCCCCCCAACACACCCCAAGAAATCATGTCCCCAGAAAACCTTCCTGGGACATGGTTCATCATGGGCCCGAGAGTTCCCGGAGGCCCCTAAGGAGCCCCAGGGAACGCCCAAGAGACCCCCCAACACACCCCAACAAACCATGTCCCCAGAAAGCCTTCCGGGGACATGGTTCATCATGGGCCCGCGAGTCTCCAGAGGCTTCGAAGTACCATGATGCTACAGCAGAGCTGTCTGGGAAGTTGATTGGGAACATGACTGATCGCCTTCTCGCGGCCCTCCGCAGATCGTTTCGGACAAAGTTGCCCCAAGTGCCCTCTTGAACCGACGACGACGACGACGACGACGAAACGACGAAGACGACGACGACGACGACGACGACAACGACGACGGCGCGCCCCAATAGGCGATAACGACATTACGACGACGACGACGACGACGACGACGACGGCGACGACGACGACGACGACGACGACGACGGCACGCCCCAACAGGCTCCCCAAGACGCCCCCAAACCCATGCTCCCAGAAGGCCTTCTGGGAACCCGATTCATACGGCTGCTTCTAGCATATATAGATATATGTATTTATGTATATATATATGGAGCTATAGATGTATAGGATGGTTGTTCGTTTGGTGCTATGCGACTGTTCACGCTTACTTGCTGTATTTCTGTCGCTCGGGTGGCGGCGGCATGCTGCGCGCATCGTGCTTCCTAACGACCTGGCTGCGTGTACCGAGGTGTGCTGCCGCTCTGGGAAGGATTCCCGGATGCCTGGGGCGAGACCTCACAGAGTCCGACCGCAGTGCTGCTGGGGGACAAATGGGCACTGGCAAGTCGGGAAATCGACACCTTTTCCCGCAAAGTCTGATTTCTGTCGTCCAGTGTACGTGTTTGTTGCTGCACTTGGTCGTCCAATGTTTTCGTTTCAGTTGCTGCGCTGCACGATATGGGTCTTTGTCTGGGTCGAGGGGAGGTATTGCAGGCTTACATTGCCTTTGTCTGGGTATATTCCGGTAGTGTTGCAGTGCAGTTTTTGGTCCGTGCCGCTCTCTTGTGCAGTGCAGTTTTTTCCACAGGTTTCGTTGGGTTCTGGTTTTCTGCCCTGCCGCGTGGCACCCGCGTCTCCCTCTATCACCTCCCTCCTCTCCTCTCCTCCTCTTCCCTCCCCCCTCACCCACGCGCAACACATGCACGGCGCGTGCAAGAGACGCGCGTCCACATACATCCGCACGCATGCACACACTCGCAGACACGCACACACGCAAACACACAGCATACAACGCTAGTGCACGCCTGGCGCGTACATGTCATCGTACACCCAAGACGTATGCACCACATACCGAGGACTCACATGAGACACACCAGACGCACCCAACACAAGCACTGCACACACACATTGATACACACGTCCACATACAGTCGCACACGCAGCACACACATACACACGCTCACAAAGCGTGGCAGGCGTGGCTCTTTCTCGACGCCGGAGGGGGTGCGAAGAGGGTGGTCCCTGAGCGCGGCGTCTATGCAGGCCATGGCGCACGGCACGGCAGGCGTGGCTCTTTCTCGATACCAGAGGGGTGCGCAAGGGGTGGTCCCTGCGCGTGGCGTCTATGCGGGCCATGGCGCAGGGCACGGCAGGCGTGGCTCTTTCTGGACGCCAGAGGGGGTGCGCAGGGGGGCGGTCCCTGAGCGCGACCTCTATGCTGGCCATGGCGCAGGGCACGGCAGGCGTGGCTCTTTCTCGATACCAGAGGGGTGCGCAAGGGGTGGTCCCTGCGCGTGGCGTCTATGCGGGCCATGGCGCAGGGCACGGCAGGCGTGGCTCTTTCTGGACGCCAGAGGGGGTGCGCAGGGGGGCGGTCCCTGAGCGCGACCTCTATGCTGGCCATGGCGCAGGGCACGGCAGGCGTGGCTCTTTCTCGATACCAGAGCGGGTGCGCAAGGGGTGGTCCCTGCGCGTGGCGTCTATGCGGGCCATGGCGCAGGGCACGGCAGCCGTGGCTCTTTCTCGACACCAGAGGGGGTGCGAAGGGGGTGGTCCCTGAGCGCGGCGTCTATGCGGGCCATGGCGCATGGCACGGCAGGCGTTGAACTTTCGCGACACGAGTGGGAGCGTGCATGGGGTGGTTCCTGGGCGCGGCGTCTATGCGGGCCATAGGAAATTGCACGGCAGGCATGGCTCGTCAGCGACACCAGAGGAGGTCGCAGGGGGTGGTTCCTGAGCGCGTCGTCTGTGCGGGCTTTTCGCCGAAGATCGCGTTCCGTGTCTTGCGTGACCGGAGCTTGCTGCCGCCCCGGATAAGGACCCTCGGTGACCACCTCTCCTCTTGCTCCATGCGACGTGTTCGCCACTTTGCTCACCTCGGCCTGGTTGCCACTTTGCTCACCCCGCATGATTTTCGCATGTTTCACTTCAGCTATCATCACGCCAGACATCGGAGGTGAGGGGGTGAGATCGAAGTGGAACTGAGAGCCCCCCTACCGGGAAATCGATTTCGGTTTCGTGTTCGTGCGTGCCGTGCGGGCGAGGCGAAGCTGCGTGGGCGGGCGAGAGAAAGTCTCCTGTGGCTGAGGCGCGGCCGGACCAAGTGATTCCCTTCCGGACGGCCGGGGCCCCGCGGTGTCCCGCCGGTGTCCCGCTGGTGTCCCGTGTGGCTGAGGCGCGGCCGGACCAAATGATTCCCTTCCGGGCGGCCGGGGCCCCGCAGGGTCCCTCCGGTGTCCCGCTGGTGTCCCGTGTGGCTGAGGCGCGGCCGGACCAAAGGATTCCCTTCCGGGCGGCCGGGGGCCCGCAGTGTCCCGCCCGTGTCCCGTCGGTGCCCCGTCGGTGTCCCGATGATGATGATGATGTTGTTGATGATGATGGTGCTGATGATGATGATGATGATGATGATGATGATGATGATGATGATGATGATGATGATGATGGTGTTGATGGTGTCCCGATGATGCTGTTGATGGTGATGCGGATCGATTGTGAGATCGATAGTGAGATCGATAGTGAGATCGATTGTGAGATCGATAGTGAGGTCGAATGTGAGATCGATAGTGACATCGATAGTGATATCGGTTGTGAGATCGAACGTGAAACCGAATGTCAGATCGATTGTGAGATCGGTTGTGATATCGATAGTGAGATCGATAGTGGTATCGGTAGTGAGATCGATTGTGAGACAGAATGGGAGATCGTTTGTGATATCGATGGTGATATCGATAGTGAGACAAATAGTGAGACCGAATGTGAGATCGATTGTGGGATCTATTGTGAGATCGATTGTGAGATCGATAGTCAGATCGATTGTGAGATCGATCGATTGAGATCGATAATGAGATCGATAGTGAGTTCGATAGTGAGATCGATGATGAGACCGAATGTGAGATCGATTGTGAGATCGGTTGTGATATCGATAGTGAGATCGTTAGTGAGACCGAATGTGAGACCGATAATGATATCGAAAGTGCTTTCGATAGTGAGATCGATAGTGATACCGAATGCGAGATCGATTGTGAGATCGATAGTGAGACCGAATGTTAGATCGATAGTGAGACCGAATGTGAGATCGATAATGAGATCGATCGTGAGTTTGATAGTGAGATCGATAGTCAGATCGAATGTGAGATCGATTGTGAGATCGATTGTGGTATCGATTGTGAGATCAATAGCGAGACCGAATGTGAGATCGATTGTGAGATCGCTAGTGACATCGATAGTCCGACCGATTGTGAGATCCATCGGTTGAAATCGATTGTGAGATCGGTAGTGAGTTCGATAGTGAGATCGATCGAGTGCGACGTTGGTCCCTCCCCCCCCCTCACCTCCTGATCACCCGAAGGGTGGTCGTATAGGTAGTATCTGTATGTGGGGTCCCTCGGTAGCGTGATTGGCGTGCCGCCATCGGGAAACATCGGTTTGGAGGTATGTTGGATATTCTGGTCCAGCGTGTCCGGGTTCACAGGGCCTTGATAGTAGTTGGGGTGGTTTGATTCGGTTGCGGACGATGGACAGGCAGATCCCCCGGGCACGGAAGGAGGGGGTTGGAGGAGGGAGGAGGAGGAGGAGGAAGGCGAGGAGGAGGAACGCCAGAGACGAGACTTACACCGATCCCGATGCTTTTCCCCAGTTGGCCTTCTGGGGGGCCTTCGTTACCACGGCTGGGTCCCCCTCCGAAGTTTTAGTCAAACGCACACCTGGTGTGCTCTGGGCAGTAGCATCATCGATATTCTGATGTCCTCCAGTCGGGACGATCGAAATGGGTACGGAAAGAATGTGCACGGTGCCCAACAGCAGTTCTTGTTCATTTTGAACAGGACTCGCTGTCCGCGCCGCCGCGGACGTAGCGGCCTGCCCAACAGCAGCCGCTGTCGGTTTTGGACAACCTTTGTTGTTGGGCATTGTACCCATTTTTCCGTACCCATTTCGGGCGTCTAAATCCGGGAGCGGGGGAGCGGGAGGAGACAGGATGATTGAGTCAATTTGGTTTAGCTCGCTAGACAGATGCGGAAGGGGAGAGCAGTGATGTTGTCCACAGGTGGCGTTCTTCCACGTCTTCAAGAGGGCGTCTGACTACCTGCTCGGGAAGCGCATGACCGAGGCGCCTGGCACCAGCGCCGATCACCTTTCCGGCCCCAGCCTGCTTCTGCCGCAGTCGTTCTGAGAGGGAGGCCAAAAGGTCTTCAGCAGTGGGTCGCCCATCATCGCTCCCTTGGCGGCCATGGCCTGCGTCCAGTCCGCAGTGCCAGCCCAGATCTCCCAGCCGCTCACAACGCGGCCTCGAAGGGAGCCAGCCGCTCAAGCGGTGGCGACCGACTCGGCGATGCACAGGGGAGGCCCATGCGACGAAACACCTGCTTGCCTCCAGGGTGCCCTGGGTTTCTTGGGTTTCGATGTTTTTGTTATGGAAAGCGTGCCGTTCCCGCACCAAAAATCAATGGGCGTCCTGGGTTCTCAGGGTTGGCTTTCTTATGGAGGGCTTCTTGTGGACTGGCCTCCACTGCAAGGCTCCCGTGCAGCCAGGGACCAGCTGGCCCGCAGACGCCAGCGCGGGTGGCGCGGCCGCCTGGCGCGGTCACAGCGCAGAACGTTGAACCACAAGGACCCGCTCTGGGCTCCAGAGGGGCTCTTTTGCTCGGGCCGGTCCTCAGACTTAGGCCGTGAGGCCTGAGCTTTTGCCCAAGCCCGCCGTGGCCAGACGAGCCCTGTCGTTCCTTCTTGTGAGCTCCCCACGGCAGCACGACCGCAGTGCATCGGGAGGTCCAGCTCGCGCTTGCGGCGGGCGGGCACGGGACGCTGCTGCGGAGCCGCCCCACACGGGCCGATGCCCCGAACAGCACGGGGAGGAGCGGGGGGGGGGGGCAGAGGGGGCACCGAGGGGGGCGGCCGAGAGGGCGGCCGAGAGAGGGCACCGAGAGGACCAGGCGGAGGAGGAGGAGGAGGAGGAGGAGGAGGAGGAGGAGGAGGAGGAGGGCGGACGGGGAGGAGGGGTAGGATGGCATTGAATGAGTGTATGGGCTCATGGAGTCCTCTGAAGGTCGGCCAGACGAGCAGCGCTGGCCTCGCTACTGACATTCGGAGGAGGGAGAGGAGGCAGTTAGGGAGAAGCATTCCTCCGCGAAGGGGAGAGGCTAATGAGGAGGAGGGCAAAGGAAAGGCTGCGCGGTGCAGGGGGCTGAGCGATCAGGCTGAGCGAGGAAGCTAGGTGCGCTCAAGCCATATCGGACACCCTACCCCTTCCACCCATCCCTTCCCATTGCGCTGAGTTCTCCTCCATCCGCGGACGCGTGTCATGGCGGGCCTGAAATTCCCAACAACAACATCGCGATGCGGGGGGAAGGAGGGAAGACCTGCGGCTTAGGCCACACTAGGTCCGCAGCAGCAGCAGGGGGAGGAGCGGGCGGAGGCGGGCGGGCTGGAAGGAGGCGGAGGAGGAGGAGAAAGAGGAGAAACAGGAGGAGCAGGAGGAGGAGGAGAAGAAAGAGGAGAAAGAGGCGGAAGCGGGGGAGGAGGAGGAGGAGGAGGAGGAGGAGGAGGAGGAGGAGGGCCAGTGGAAACCCAAGAGCCATCAACGATGTTGGAATCAGCCTTCCTGCCTCGTTGGAAGACAACCGTTTGAAGACCTTTAAGCATGACAAGACATTGTTCTCGGGATTCCAACGCCACGGATCAACCTGCCTGTTGCGTCTTGAAGGTCTTGAACTGTGCCAGAACACCAGTCCTGAGACTTCCACACAGCGAATCAACGTAATTGTTATACCCTCATAATCCTGAACCCTTCCAAATAACAATTTCTGGTACGCTGGTCGCGGGATTCCGTAAACCATCTATACACTTACCAAAAAACGAATGTGCGCGGCGTTAAGGCGAGAGCCACATTTTGAAAAGGAACCAATCCGTGAAAGTTTTGCACATGTAGAAAAAAAACGAATGCACGCGGCGCTTAGGCGAGAACCACACTTTGAAAACCACCCGCCCTCAATCCGTGAAGTTCCTGCACATGTTTAAAGCGAATGTGCGCGGCGAGTCGGCGAGAGCCACTTTTTGAAAACGACCCGCCCTCAAACCGTGAAGCCATCGCAGACGCTTAGAAAGAATGTGCGCGGCGTTGAGGCGAGAGCTACAGTTTGAAAACCAGCCGCCCTGACTCCGTGAAGCTCTTGCATATTGTTCAAACGAATGTGCGCAGCGCTAAGGCGAGAGCCACATTTCGAAAGCGACCCGCCCTCCAAGTGTGAAGCTGGTCACTTTCCAGGCTTCGGGGTCGTGAACGGTCAGGAAGTCTCAGGCGAAACGCCCGGACCGCCGTGAAAATTGGCCTCGGGGTGCGACAGGGAGAACTTACAGTCAACGCGCCTAGTAAGGACGCGCGCCTTCATCTAGGGTACCCTTGTGTCCTTGCCTCTGCGGCCCGTCATGTGCCGTTTTCACTGGTCGCCCGCAGCCCACAAAATCCCAACTTCGGCCTCCAAGGGTGTTGCGTCCTTACCATCCGTCCTCAACAAGGAAATGGAATCGAGGAGGGGCGGGGCAGGAGGCGGGGCAACCCGCACCAGCCAGCCTCGCCCACCCCCTCCTCCGCACTCGAAGCCCCGCCGAGTGGGCGCCGCTCTCCGCGCGCGCGTGCGCGTGGGCGCCCAGGCGCCCGCCCTGCCGCCGCTGGAGGCCCCGCCGCGCCCCCCCACCCCCCCCCCGCCCCCGCCCCTCGATGCACGACCGACTTGGGGTGAGGGGAGGTGGAGGAGGGGGAGGAGGAGGAGGAGGAGGAGGAGGAGGAGGAGGAGGAGGAGGAGGAAGGAGGAGGAGGAGGAGGAGGAGGAGGAAGGAGGAGGAGGAGGAGGAGGAGGAGGAGGAGGAGGAGGGGGAGGAGGGGAGGAGGGGGAGGGGAGAAGGAGGAGGCAAAGGAGGAGGAGATTCAAAACGTCCGTGGTACCACGCTGCGTGTCGGCCCAGCGTATTGGCCCACGTTTTGGCGGACGTGCCTCGTCATACCAAAGTTTTCGATTTGCGTGTTGAGTTCCATGTGGATGCGCTGTGTGTTGCGTGTTGCGTATCGGAGCAGCTTTGCGCTGCCCCAGTCTCACCCCCCTGGGCGCCACGGGGGCGGGGGGCGGGAAGAGTCAGCCACGCGCAGAGGGGGGCTGGGGGAGGGGGGAGGGCTTCTGAGAAGCAGCCGTGGTTCTCAGAAGGCGTGGGCCTTATCTATAGAAGTAAGGCCAGCGCCGTCCACAGAGGAGGGTGTTGCGCGCCCCTTGCCCTCCGACCGGCGCTTACGTTGGGGCGGGGCCCGCGGCCGCGGAGTCGGGGGAGAAGCTCCGCAGAAGGCAGCCGACGGGCGGATGGCAACGGGCGCAGTAGCAACTTGGAGCCGGCTGGTGGTCTGAGGTGGCCCAGCAGTGGTTCCGGCCAGGAGGACGGGCGGGCGAGGTTCGAGGCGGTGGGTTCGGGACGTTCTCGTGTTTTTGTTCGGGTTCGGGTGCCGCTGTCGTCTTGTTTCCTCCCTCCTTGCACGCCCGGCAATTTGCCTGCCAGCAGCCCCGAATAGCCACACGCTGGAGCGGACTGTCTCTGTGTCGCCGCCGAAAAAAATGTTGTTCGGCCTCCGGAGGCCGTTGTCACGCCTTGGGGGCCGTCCAAACGTGATCCGGGGTGAAGAATTGTACCAGATGGACCCCTTGAGGGGTCCGACCGATTGTGAGCGGATTTGGCCTCATCCCCCCCCCGCCCTGGCTGTTTTTTCTAAGGTCCTGACCAGTTGAGACCCCCCGGCCAGGGTGGGGGCGGTTACGCCCGGCGGGGGCGGGGGGGATCTGCGTCTTTGGGGCGTTGGGGGGTACCGCGCTGCCCTCGGGCGGCGGCGGAGAGATCCCTCGAGGTTCTCGCCGGCCTCCCAGGGTGCGCGCTGCAAATCACACCCCCTGCAAGCCACGCCCCCTGGAGTCGCCGAGGGAAACAGCGGGGGAGGGGCAGGGGGGTGGCTGTGGTGGAGGGAGAAGGGCCCCAGACATGCGACTTCCTGATTCTTTCAGGACGGGGCCCCGAAGTCCAGACCCTTTCCCCAGGGGCAGGCTTTTCATCCTGAGTCGTTGTTCGACGGTCCCGGGGCCCGGCGAGGGCCCCCAGGGGCCGAAAATGACGAAGGATTTATTGTCCTGATAGTTTAACGCCGCGATCATGTCTGGGGCTGAAAGGCTCCCCCCCTCGGAGCCAGGGGGCCCCTCATCATCATGCTCCCCGGGGGGGAGGCGCTTGGCCGCCTCTCCCCGGGCCTCGGCCCCTGTCGAGGTCCGGCTCCTGGAGCCCGAGCGCCTGCAGAACGTCTGCCCGAGATGCTCAAGAGGAGGAGGAGGAGGAGGAGGAGGAGGAGGAGGAGGAGGAGGAGGAGGAGGAGGAGGAGGCGGAAAGAAGGAGGAAAGGAGGAGGAGAGGGGAGGGAGGAGGAGGATGAGGGAGGAGGAGGAGGAGGAAAGAAGAGGATGAATGAGGGGGAGGAGGAGAGGAGGAGGAGGAGGAGGAGGCGGAGGAGGAGGAGGAGGAGGAGGAGGAGGAGGGGGAGGAGGAGTAAGGGGGAGGAGGAGGGGGAGGGAGGAGTAGGAGGAGGAGGAGGGGGAGGAGGAGGAGGAGAGGAGGAGGAGGAGGAGGAGGAGGAAGGAGGAGGAGGAGGAGGAGGAGGAGGAGGAGGGAAGAGGGGAGGGGAGGAGGAGGAAGAAGGAAAGGAGGAGGAAGAAAGAAGATGATGATGATGATGATGATGATGATGATGATGAGGAGATGATGATGGATGATGATGATGCTGATGATGATGATGATGATGATGATGATGAGATGATGATGATGATGATGATGATGATGATATGATGATGATGATGATGATGATGGTGATGGTGATGGTGATGGTTGATGATGATGATGATGATGATGATGATGATGATGATGATGATGATGATGAGGAGGAGGAGGAGGAGGAGGAGGAGGAGGAGGAGGAGGAGCTCGGCTCTGAACATTCCTCTCTGCGGCCGCGGGCGCGGGGCTGGGAGGGGGGCCGGCACGACGAGCGAGAACACGCTCAGCCTGAAATCCAGCCCTCGTGATACGTTCGAAGGCAGATGCTGGGACGCGGCGCGACAGGTGTCGGGTCGGAGATCGATTGCAGAATTGTTTGACCCTAGAAATGACATGTTCGCCGAATCGACACCATATTAGTAGATCTGCGCAAATTCTATTTTTTCCGTAGCTGACGACGACGACGCCGACGCAAACGGCCCACGGCCGAGGGCCGTCGGCGTTCGGCGTAGGGCGCAGCGGCGACGGCGACGACGACGCGCAAACTCGACCCTCTGCTCGAAGTGGGGATGCCTGCCGTCCCGAGTGGCGCCGAGCTGGGAGGCCACCCGCGGCGGCCCCCGCGGCGCGTGCCCCCGAGCGGCCCCCGACGGCCGAACGCGCGCTGCTGCACGCGTGGCGCTCTCCGGAGACGGATTTGTCCTTCCCGGAGATACAGTGGGGGCCGATGCCAAGACACACCCTCCTTGCCTCCTTGCCTCCTCCCCCTCCCCCTCCTCCTCCTCCTCCTCCTCCTCCTCCTCCTCCTCCTCCTCCTCCTCCTCCTCCTCCTCCTCCTCCTCCTCCTCCTCCTCCTCCTCTGCGCGCCCATGCCCACGAGAGCTTCCCTCCTGAGCCCGCCAGGGCGCTCGAGCCCTCTCCGCCGCTCCTGTCGGGCGGGGCCATCTAGGGCAGGGGTACCTCGATTCGGCGCGTGCCAGGACGCCCTCAGAGCGTGCCGGAGCGCTCTGGAACTCGGGGCTGGCAATGCCATAAACACAAACATTCAGGACGAACAAATAGGCACGGGCACCAAAGAACGCAGAGTCCCTCAGGGGAATTGTGGGGAGTGGAGGGGAAGGCGAAAGCCCGGAAGCCATGTAAAGTTTCCCAAGCCTCCCCTAAGACGCACAAAGTTTCTCAGACGGCGCGAGGGCTTCTGAGAAGCCCCGCCGCCCAGCAGGCCTTCTCCTTCTCACTTCCCCGCGTCGCTCGCCGCCGATTTTGTTATGCCCCTGGGCCCCTCCCAAAACTCGGAGGTTCGCGCAGGTTCCTCGGATTGGGCGCTGGGCCCCCCCCCCCGCGGCCTCCCAGGCTCCCCTTGGACATATTGAAACACATGGGAAGTTGACGAGAAGACGAAAGTCCAGAAGCCACGCAAAGGTATGGGGACTCCTGCGACGTGTGCCTGACCGCGAAGAGTGTTTAGAACCCCCCCCACTGGAGGGAAACTAATTATCTGTTTAGCGGTTTTATTGAAGGACTGGGGTCCCACCACTAATTAGGGGGTGAATAATCATTGTTTTCCGCGGCGCCCGCCGCGCAATAACGACGACGACAGCTACGACGAAGACGATTGCTACTACCCATGCCTAAGGATGGGGGGGAGGAGGAGGAGGAGGAGGAGGAGGAGGAGGAGGAGGAGGAGGAGGAGGAGGAGAAGGAGAAGGATGAGGAGGAGAAGGAGGAGAAGAGGAGGATGAGGAAGAAGAGGAGGAGGAGGAGAAGGAGGAGGAGGAGGATGAGGTTTGGAAGCCAGTCCAGTTCACCGCCGAGTGGCAAGGGGGGGGGACCAGAACAACAGACCCTCAGGGCTCACTTAGGCTGTGCCCCTGGGCCCCTGCCCAAACGTCGGCGGCCCGCGCGCCTTCCCCGGAGGGACGCCCGGCGGTCCCCCACCCCCAACGGCCTCCCGGGCGCACGCCCACGCAAAGGTATGGGGACTCCTGCGACGTGTGCCTGACCGCGAAGAGTGTTTAGAACCCCCCCCACTGGAGGGAAACTAATTATCTGTTTAGCGGTTTTATTGAAGGACTGGGGTCCCACCACTAATTAGGGGGTGAATAATCATTGTTTTCCGCGGCGCCCGCCGCGCAATAACGACGACGACAGCTACGACGAAGACGATTGCTACTACCCATGCCTAAGGATGGGGGGGAGGAGGAGGAGGAGGAGGAGGAGGAGGAGGAGGAGGAGGAGGGGGGTAGGGAGGAAGGGAGGAAGGTAGGGGGGTGGTGAAAGGAAGGATGGAAGGGGGAGGGGAGGAGGAGGGGGGGAGGTAGGAGGAGGACAGGGTGGAAGGGTAGGGGAGGGATGGGGAGGGGCGGAGGCAGGGAAGGAGGGAGGGGACGGAGGAGGAGAGGTAGGGTTAGACGGAGGGATAGGGAGGGGGACGTGGAGGAGTGTGAGGGGTGGTGAGGGGTGGGGGTGTGAGGGGATAGGGGGTCGGAGGCAGGAGAGGCGGAGGAGGATGGTAGAGAGGAGAGGGATGAGGAGGGAGAGGGGTGAAGGAGGAGGAGGAGGAGGAGAAGGAGAAGGATGAGGAGGAGAAGGAGGAGAAGAGGAGGATGAGGAAGAAGAGGAGGAGGAGGAGAAGGAGGAGGAGGAGGATGAGGTTTGGAAGCCAGTCCAGTTCACCGCCGAGTGGCAAGGGGGGGGGACCAGAACAACAGACCCTCAGGGCTCACTTAGGCTGTGCCCCTGGGCCCCTGCCCAAACGTCGGCGGCCCGCGCGCCTTCCCCGGAGGGACGCCCGGCGGTCCCCCACCCCCAACGGCCTCCCGGGCGCACGCCCGGCGGACCCCCCCACCCTCTCCTCCTCCTGCTCCTCCTCCTCATCCTCCGCCTCCTCCTCCTGCTTCTCCTCCTCCCCCGCCCCGACATCGGCCAGGAGCTGCCCCCGCCGGAGGCCGGGCGCGAGGAGGCGCCGGCGCCGGAGGCCTCGGCCAAGCTCGATCGGGGCTCATTTAGGCCACCTATAGATGGAGTCGGAGCAGATGGGGGTCGGAGGATCGCGCCGCATCGCCGATGCATCGCCGATGCATCGCCGGTGCGGCTAGATGCGGAGCCCGATTTGGTTCACGTCGATGCATCGTCGATGTATCGGTGATGCATCGCCGATGCGGCGCGATCCGTCGACCCCATCTACTCGGACCCCATCTAGGAGGCCTCTAGCTCAAGAGTTGAAGAACAATAAACGGCACAAACATAAACTTTTGGCGCTGCGTGCGGATTTCTTGGATCCGTGCTGGGCCCCCGGCAGCGCCTCCGGCGCCGCCGCTGGCGCGCTTCGCGCGTCAGGGAGGGGGTCTTAGCCCAGATCCAATAGTTTATGTTTATGGTGTTGTTTCTTCCTCCGGAGAGACGGTCGGCGGCGAGCGATGGCTACGAAGACCGACGGCCTGTTTGGTTCATGTCAAACAGGACTCGCTCTCGACGTCGGCGCAGACGTTCTCCATTTGATACAGAAGGCCGCCTGCCCAAAAGCGGCCGCTGCATGTTTCGGACACCCTTTCTTGTTGGGCTTCGCACCCCTTGTTCCGTACCCACCTCGGGCGTCCAGACCAGTGGTTTCGCAACGTCTGACACAATTTTGCGGCGAGCGAGGGGGGAAGGTCTTCTCAGGAGGCGGCGGGGCTTCTCAGAAGCCCTCGCGCCTTCTGAGAGGTTTCTTTATTCCTTCGGGGAAGGCTCCGACAACTTTCCTGAAGGCTTGGGGACTTCCGAGCCTTCTGAGAAGGCCCACGCTTTCTCGGTTCCTCCCCTCGCTTGCCGCCGAGACGGGCGATTTAGACTTTCCCTGGGGTCGCTCCTTGGAGTAGGGGGGCTTAAGGTTAAGTCGGGCCTGTCCCTGTACAGGAGGAAAATTCAAAAACAGTAACAAAATAGTAAGGGGACGTTTTTAAAAAAACAATTTTTGGACATTTGAGGTGCATTTTGATGATATTCGTTATTTCTCGTTCAAAATACGCCTGTAGGGGGACATGCCTGACCTAACCCGAGGTCGGAATTCTGGCGGTCGTGGTGTCTCCCTCTCTTCTTTCCTCGATGCGCCCGCCCAGTGGCCCCCACACGCCCGGGCACTTGCCATCCCCTCTTCGGCGCACGCGCGAAGAAAGCACTTCGGGGTTCTCGAGGTGCTCGGGCGCTGTCGCCGGTTCCCAGCGGTTCTCCAGCCTCGGGATATGCTCTCCAGCAGCTGCGCCTCGCCGATGGCGTGCGGGGCTCGTCGGGTCGCCCCGAATGGCCGCCAGAGGGCCGAGCTGTGGCCCAGAAACCCAGACCCCCGCGAGTCCAGAACAAAAGCACGACGGGAGGCTTTCCGCCATGTTCGGCCACGCGCAGAAGGGGGTAGGGGGAGGGGGGAAGGCTTCTTAGAAGCACCCCTGCTTCTTAGAAGGCGCGGTCCTTCTGTATAGATGTAAGGCCGCCGCCTTCTAAGAGGCAGCCTCCTTCTAAGAAGCCTTCCCCCCTCCCTCCACCCCCTTCTGCACGCCGCCAACATGTTCTGCCTCTGGGGGCCCTGGCCCGGCTTTGGGGCCGTCACGGAACAGCTCGGGACGAAGAGCCGGTCTTGGGGAATGGGTCGAGTCTTAAGTCGGCGATGTACCTTTGCGGGAATAATATTCAGAAATAGTCAGAAAATTGTATGGTGACGTTTTTTCTCTGGTGTTGGACAATTGTTGTACATACTCTGTGTCCAATGTATTTTTGTTCGTCCTAAGTCCCCATGTAGGAGGACATGCCCGACTTAAGCCGAGACCTCTGAGGGTCGACGCTATGGCAAAAATCATGACGCCGGGGGGCTGGGGAATAGGAGAGGTCGGCGACCAGGTTTCGCGTGGTGTCGAGAGGCGCGGCTCCCGCGATCTTGGGTCGCTCCAGCTGTGTGAGTCTTGGTCCCCGGGGTTTTTCTTGACTCTTGGATCGGACGGGGCCAGGACGCGGATCAATCCGTTCCAGTGCGTTCCAGAGCGCTCTCAGAGTCTTCGGGGAACGCTCCGAGGAGGCCGCGACGCACGAGGCATTTTCCAGAGCCGCGAGATCTCAGAGATTCCCAGCTTCTGCCCACCCGATCTTACCCTCGTCTTGGCTTCGTCTTCAACATGTGTGATTATCGTCCCAGGGGCTCTCAGAATTCTTCGAGTCGCGCGAACCGCGCCCATCCCGCCTGTGCGTAAGTCGGGCGTGTCCCTCTACAGGCGGAGTTTTCAAACATGGCAACGCAAACAGTATGGGCAAGATCTTTCTATCATGTTGGCCCATGTTTGATTACGTTTGTCAATGTTCGATTCTCTCCTGCAAAATCCGCGCCTGTGGGAGGACATGCCCGACCTAAGCCTGCGCCCAGGGCCCACCCCCCCGCCCCACCGGGTGGCCCTCGGCGCCCCGGAGCTCCCGGGGAGAAGGGTGGGCGAGAGCGAGGGGAGGGCCTCCCTTCTGGAGCGTCTGCCCGGAGGGTGGCTCGAACGACGGTGCTCGGCGGCTGCGACGGGAGCGATGACGCTTCAGTCGGGCACGTCCCTCTACATTCGGAAACGGTAGAAAAATAGTCTGGGGACGACTATTTTAAAGTTTTTTCTTTTCACGTATTTTTCATTTGTTCCTCCGCAATCTGCCTGCAGGAGGAATTGCCCGTCCTAAGATTACGCTGGGGTGTGGTTTGCGATCGGCACCGTTGGGGCCTGGGAGCACGACGCTGTCCTCGTCGCGCCTCCTCGGGGCGCGGTGGAGAGCTCTGTCGAGGTCCGCGCCCGCACCCCAGGGTGCCCCCCAGAGGGTGCCGGTTACAAACCACACCCTTGTGCAAACCACACCCTTCGGAGTCGCCGAAAAGGGCCCCCTTCCCCCTCTGAGATCCTGACGTTCAATTTTTCGAGGCGGGCGTGTTCGCCCGGTTTCGGGCCCCAGGACCCTCACAGATGCATCTGGCTGGACCACACGACTCAGAAAAATGGGGTCCCGGACTTTGGTGGCGATTTTTTGCGATGTGCTAGTTATTTGTAACGTCAGATCTGCCCACCCTCCCCGTCCCCTCCTCGGGCGAGAAACAGTGCTCCTGGCGGCGACAGATTTATTGTCCCTCCCTCCAGGGGCTGTCGTCGTCGGTCGTCGTCGTCGGCCGTCGGCCGTCGTCGTTCTTCGTCGCCGGTGATCTTGGGCCGCCGAAGCATTGTATGTCTTTCCCCTCCAGGGAGATTTACTAGTCTTGAGCTTCCGTTGCCCCTAGGAGTGACCTTTTGCCTGAGTGATCTATGGTCTGGGCACACTTGGTGCCTCCAGATGTTTCAACGCGATGCGATAGCAGCGGCTTGCGCGCTCGGGTTGGCATCTTAGTTGCCCCCGAAAGTGGCCCCAAAGGTCACTCTTGCCTAGGGTCACTCTTGTGTGGAGCCGAGAAACCTCCGGGTCGGTGTTCGAGGTTGCCGCGGTGATCTATATAGGTGGCCACATATGGGGGCCAGGTTTTTGGCATGGAGTGGTATGCCCCATCTCAGCCCCGCACCCGCTCTGCGATGTAAGGAATATAGCGACAGAGAGCTGTCGATGTGTGTCCATCATGGGACGTCACGCTTTAGTTTGGCAAAGGGCCGATTTAGTATGCAACCGTGAGCTGCCGGGTCGTTCGCGTCGGGGGCTGGGGACTTTTTCGATGCTTCCCGCAGCGCATCGCCAGTTCCTCCTCCTCCTCCTCCTCTTCCTCCTCCTCCTCTTCCTCTTCCTCCTCGTATTCTTCTCAGTCGACAGGCGACGCCAGCGCAACCCCGGCGTACGAACCTCCGACCTGAACCCAAGCACAAGCAAGGCCATTAGGAGGTCTGGAGCTCGCCGCCGCACCGCATCCGTGCCCGTGCGCGGCATCCCACACTCGGTCCCATCGGCAGGAAAGCCGACGGCGGGCTGTGGGAGGGGGCGCGAGGGGGGCGGGCGGCGTCTAAGGGAGCAGAGGGTGTCTTGGAGGTGATTGGAGGCGAAGAGAGAATGCCAGGAGTAACCGAAGGCTTTGTAAGGCATGCAGGACACTCGTATTTATTCTGTGCTCGAGGAAGGGAGTGGGCGGGGGTGCTCGCTCCTACCCGCCCAACCCCTAAAGGAAGAAATTGAAGGCAGCAGATGTAAAGCAGAAGGGCGCATCATGTGAAGGGAAGAAGTGGGTCTGGAAGCGAAGCTATTCGAAGTCATACAGTACGTTGTGATGATATGACCGGTAATGCAAGTGCGAAGAGGTCTGCGCGCACTGCTGAATGCAGACGATAGCAGAAATGGCAGGTACGATCGAAAGACGTACGCGCGCGCGCGCGCACAGTCAGCTGCGAATGTGCGGTCCGCATGGCGCCATTCCAACCAGGCTATGTGCGAGGGTGCGGACCGATACGTGGCTCCCCTAACGAGTTCCAGATCAGTTCTTGAAAATGGGGGCGGCGCCGCCGAGTTCATCGCTGTACAGCCTCAGCCAGAATTGCTGCCCAAAGGCCCAGGTGCTATCTCAAAGGCCTCCCGCAGGGTCTGGGTGCTGTGGAGGCCCTTGCGAAGACACACCCTGCTCTCCTCCAGGGTGCCCTGGGTTTCAGGTGGTTCGATGGTTTTCCTGTGGAAGGCGAGATGTTCCCACACCAACAATCACTGGACGTCCTGGGGTCTCAGGGTTGAGTTTCGTGTTGAGGGTTTCTTATGGACTGGCCTCCACTGTAGTTGCCTCGCTGGGTCAGTTGCAAGCCGCTCGCGCCCCCACCTCCGCGGCAGGCGCTTCCGGCGACGTCTGGAGGACGCGAGCTCCAACCCGGGGCGTTTTACTCGCTCCTGGGCGCGAGCTGCAACGAGTGGGGCCTGCAGGCGGCATATGGGGCGTTCCAGAAAGGGCCTTGCCTTCGAGGATCGAAGGAGTTGTCATCTCCTCTGCGGCGGAAGGCGGTGGAAGGTCGGCGGAAGGTGGCGGAAGTAAAACGAGGCCGCCTTGGCCGGCGGAAGGGCGGCGGAAGGTGGCGGAAGTATAAGATGCGTTCCCAAGAGATGAACACGTTTTTGGATTCAGGGTTTCCGAAATCCGCCATATGGGGCGCTCCCCTCGGGTTGACAATGCTTCTGTATCCTTTGGCACGTAACGGTCGCTACCCGGGCCAACACTGCCCCCTCAAGGAATGGTAGCGATCGTGCGAATGGGGGCGGGGGGCGGCGGCCTGGACCCCCCCCCCACATGCTGGTGCTCGCGCGCTTAACGTGGCGACAGCAGCGCACCCCCGCCCCGACGTGCCCCACACCGCCCAATCGTTACCAGTACCCAGGGCCCCAGCCGCCGGGGAGCGACCGTTAGCGGACATAGCAAAAGAAGAAGTTCTCGGCGTCGAGGGATCGTCGCCATGAGGAAGAGGGGGCTCCCGAGGGAAACGGGCCCTCGGGGTCCTTCTCGTCCTCGTCGAGCGCCCCGGCCACCCATCAGCGCAGAGACCACCAAGAGCTCCTCAGAGCGAAAAGTTGGTCCTGGAGCAGAGCTCTCTGGGCCCAGGGACTCTCAGGACCGCCTCACTGGTGCCGAGATCGAGACGCGGACGCTGATGCCCCTGCCTCTGCGCGAAAGGCCGCCGAGGGCCCGTGAAGGCCAGGCAGCCCCCCCCGAAAAGATGTCAGGAGGGGAAAAACACAGACACAATTAATCGGCGATCCCCAGGAAAATATGAGAAAATATGGGAAGTGGGGGGGAAGACGAAAACCCATAAAATATGTGGAAATGTGAGGAATCCTTTTATTTGTGTATATTTATTTGTGTGTCCCTGGGCCCCTCCAAAGATGTAGTTTTTGTTTTTCAGGGTTCCGGGCTCCCAGGCCAGGTCAGGTCACATTTTGCCCATAGTGCGACAGCCTTACGGCCGGTGCCGCCGACCCAGGGGGGCGACGACGACGACGACGACGACGACGACGGCGGCGCCGACGACGACGGCGGCGCCGACGACGACGGCGACAGCGACGACGACGACGACGACGGCGACGACGGCGGCGCCGACGACGACGGCGGCGCCGACGACGACGGCGACAGCGACGACGACGACGACGACGGCGCCGACGACGGCGACGACGTCGACGACGGCTCCCGGACAGGGCCACACCTTGTCCATACAGTGGAGACCCATGCCAAGACACACCCTGCTTGCCTCCAGGGGGCCCTGGGTTTCTTGGGTTTGGATGGTTTTGCCATGGAGCGTGACGTTCCCACACCAAAGATCAATGGACGTTCCTGGGGTCTCAGGGTTGGGTCCCCTGTGGAAGGTTTCTTGTAGTCGATTCCTTACTGTAGGCTCAGGGGGCATGTATCGGTTCTCCTGAGCCAGACCCCCCCCCCCTCGTTGCCCCTCACCATCTCGTCCCTCTCATCGTCCTCCCCCTGAGTCCATGGTGGTCTTCGCTCCGCCTTTCCTCTCGCCCTCTTCCCGCCTCTGCCTCAGCTCCCTATCCTCACTTGCTCTCTTTCTATCGCTCTCTCTCTCTCTCTCTCTTTCTCTGTTTCCCTGTCTCTCCTGTTCCCTGCCTTTCTCTCTCTATCTGCCCGTTCGCTCCCTCACGCTCTCTCTCTCTCTCTCTCTCCCTCTCTCTATATGTATATGTTTCTTTTATGTCTCTTTATATGTCTCGCTCTCTCTCTCTGGCTCTCTCTCTCTCTCTCTGGCTCTCTCTCTCTCTCTCTCTTTCTCTCTCTCTCTCTCTTTCTCTTTCCTCTCCTCTCCTCATCCCTCCCTCCCTCCCCTATCTTCCCTTCCTCCCTCCTCATCCCTCCCTTTCTCTGCTCCCTTCCCTTCCTTCCTCCGCATCCCTCAATCCCCTCTCTTCCCCTCCTCCTCCCTTCCCTGCCTCCCTCACAATGGACGCCCGGAAGCGGACGAGTAACTTTTCGGCCGAGGGCCGTCATCCCGCGACGGGATCGCCGTTCGTCAGAATTGCCGACAGGTGCCCCTCAAGCTTCCCCCCCAGTCCCCCAGGCGCGCCAGACACCTCATCGTTCCTCATTCCTCCCCATCTTCTCCTCGCCCTCTTGGTCCTCCTGGGGAGGGAGAGGGGCGAGGGGGAGCGGAGGCGGGAAGAGAAGCGCAGAGGGGGATTGAGGGGAAGGGAGGCCGGAAATGGGGGAACGAGGAGGCGGGTATCTGGCCCATCCATCTCCGCCACTTCCACTCCTTGCTTCCCCGTCCTCTCCTCCTCCTCATTCTCCTCCTCTCTTCCTCCTCCTCCTCCTCCTCCTCCTCCTCGTCCTCCTCCTCCTCCTCCTCCTCCTCCTCCTCCTCCTCCTCTCCGTGTGCGCGGGTGGGGCCTGGGGACCGTTTGCTCATTTGCGCCGTACGTGCGGGATCAAGCCGCGTGGCGTCCCATCTTGCTCGCAGTACTCCGCAGTATTCCTTGCCATCTGCCCACTCCTCCTCAACTGCACGATGGCCCGCCCTGCCTCCGTCCTGCTCGTCCTCCCGAGCGTCCTTCCTGGCCTCCTATCTCTGTCCGTGGGAGTTCTCCCTCTCAGTGGCGGCTGGAACTTTTTTTGGCACGCTCCTCCTCCTCCTCCTCCTCCTCCTCCTTCTCCTCTTCCTCTTCCTCCTCCTCGCCTCCGCCCCTTTTTCCACCTCCTACCTTCCTCCTCTCCTTTCCTCCGACTTCTCTCCTCCTCCTCCTCCTCCTTCTGCTCCTGCTCTTCACTCTCTGGGTGCTCCAGCCGGGCCCCAGTAGGGCCAGAGTGCCCCCCCCGTGCATCGGCGACGAGCGAGGGGCGGAAGCGAGAAGGAGGAGGCCTTCTCAGAAGGCTCGGAAGTCACCCGGCCTTCTGAGAAGTTTCTTAGGCCTTCCCCGATGACAGGGCAGACGTCTCAGCAGGCGCGAGGCCTTCCGAGAAGCCCCGCTGCCTTGTGAGAAGGCCTTGTTATCCTTCGCACTTCCGCCCCTCGCTCGCCGCCAGATGCAGAGCTGGGGCCCATGGCGCGGGACGCGCGCACCGTCGGACCTCGAGATCTGACGCAGCGAACAAATTGCAGCATCACGTCCAGGCAGGGCGCGTTTCGGCTCCTCCGATTCGATTCGGTTCGATCTCGCTGGCCTCCGATTCCGATTCGATTCGACTTCGGATTCCGATTTGCATGCCGATTCCTCAACGGAGGCCTACTGGCCTGCCGATCTCTGCCGATTCGACTTCTCCCGACTTGGCTGCCGATTTCCGCCGACACGATTCGTTTCGATCGCCGATCCGACTTGTCGATTCGATTCTGGGCGCTCCTGCCCGGAGCCCCATAGACCCCATCTTCCCGCGTCATCTTTCGAGCCGGATCGATCTGTGAGGGTCCCAGATCCCGGAAAACAGCGAAAACGCCCTGCTCGAAAAAGTTGGATCGCCGGGATCTCAGGCGTCGATCTGTGAGGGTCCCAGATCCCGGAACGCAGCGAGAACGCCCTGCTCGAACCAAAGTCGGATCGCCAGGGTCTCATGGGGACGGCCGCGGACATCACCGAGCGCGTGCCGCTGCTCGCAGAGCGCCCGCTCGCAAACGTCAGAGAAAGAGCACGTCCTCCCGCATGCAACGCGTCGTGACCGCCCCGCGGCGGATCCGGGCCACCTGCGCGCACTCTGCGTGCCTCTGCGAGCAGCGGAGAGCGCGCTCGTCCAGCCGGAGCCGGGCGGGGCCCCTCCGCGGGGGGCCGCGGCGAGGGCAGGCCCCCCCCCGGCAGGCGGCGAGCGGCGGCGGCGGCGGGCGGGCGTGCGGCCAACGGGCGCCGGGCCCAGAGGCGTCAGGTGTCCGGGCAGCGGCGAGGCGGCCATGGCTCGCCTGTGGTCCGGGCCTCCCAGGATCGCGCCGCATCGCCGATGCGACGCCGATGCGGCTCGACGTGGAGCCCGATGTGCCTCACGCGGACGGCACCGATGCATCGCCGACGCATCGCCGATGCATCGCCGATGCATCGCCGATGGATCGCCGATGCGGCGCGATCTTCCGGCCCGATCTACTCCGACTCGATCTAGGAGGCCTCTGTATAGGCCCGCCACAGAGTGTTCTGATAACCGATTGTGGTCCGCTCGAACTGTTCTCAGAACTTCTCTGGGTGAGAGTGTCGTGTGTTAACACATCGGGCTTTTATGTTCTAAGAGCGCCGTTATTGCTCTCAGCACGTTTTTGGGCTAGAGCAAGTCGTGGTATTCCTATAGGAATACTGGGACGGTCCGCCCCTGCTCAAGGATGAGCCAGCGGGCGTCCGGCAGGGCCGCCAGGCCGTCGCCGTCGCCGCCGCCGTCGTCGTCGAGGCGTCGAGACGTCAGAGGAGCCTGCAGGCGTTAGGCCGATATCTAGAGGCGCCAAGCAGAATGAGGGGCGCCAAAGGTGTCAACGGGTGCGGGATAAACCATCGTCTCAGTCCTGATGCAGGCGTCAGCGGGTGTCAGGCCAACATGGGCGACAGGCCCCAGAATGGCCTCAGCAGAACAGAGGCAGCGGGCGTCGGAGGAACAGGGTCGTCGGGCAGAGCAGTGGCGTCAACGGGCGTCGGGCGAGAACAGAGGCGTCGTCGCTCCAAGCCAACTGGCAAATCGAGGCTTTGCACGACGTCTTCGTCAGCGCCGTACGCATGTTTATGAGAGCGTTGTACAGCACCTCGGGCCCTCCCCCTCCCCCTCCTCCTCCTCCTCCTCCTCCTCCTCCTCCTCCTCCTCCTCCTCCTCCTCCTCCTCCTCCTCCTCCTCCTACAGCACCTGAGGAGGGGCGGGCAGCCCGAGGAGACTCCCCCCAACGCCCCGGGGTCAGGCACAGGCGGAGTTCGCGGAGCTCGCCGCCTCGCTCGTCAGCACCCCCGCAGGCGGGCCGACCGCGGGTGGAGGACGAGGAGGAGGAGGAGGACGAGGAGGAGGACAAGGAGGAGGAGGAGGAGGAAGGGAGGAGGAGGACGAGGACGAGGACGAGAAGGGGGAGGAGGAGGTGGAGGAAGAGGAGGAGGAGGAGGAGGAAGGAAAAGGAGGAGGAGGAGGAGGCGGGGCGGGCGTGCGGGTAGTTGGGCCCAGGATATGTTTGGATCGGGTGAGGCGTTCGGGATACCCAGACCACCATCGAGTCATGGGATACATGCCAGCCGCGCGCAGAAGGGGGTATGGGAGACGGGGCAGGCGTCTTAGAAGGAGGCTGCTTCTCAGAAGGCGCGGGCACCTCGTCTATAGATGCAAGGCCCGCGCCTTCTAAGGAGCAACCCCCTTCTAAGAACCCTTCCCGCCCCTACCCGGACCCCCGCCGTCGTGTTTTGTTGTCGCAACGTCGACCCCGAGAGGTACCGACCCATTCCCTCACCGCTCACCAAACCACCCAAACCCAACCCGAGAGCCCCGATTTGCCCTCCATTCGCAGTTGGGGGGGGCGGGGAACATCGACAAAAACATACATGGAATCCGTCCCCCCCCAAACCGACCGAGATTCGGTTTTTCGGGTTCGGTTGGAGTGGTCTGGCAGGGAGTCCTTCTCCGGGACCGGTTTTTCATCCTGAGTCGTTCTGTTCACGATCCCAGGGCCCGGCGAGGGCCCTCGGGGGCCGACATTGGCGACGGGCAGAGGGGGGCAGGGAGAGGGGGGAAGGCTTCTTAGAAGCACCCCTGCTTCATGGAAGGCGCGGGCCTTGGCTGTAGATGAAAGGCCTGCGCCGTCGAAGAAGCAGCCTCTTTCTAAGAAGCCTTCCCCCCTCCCCGTGACCCCCCTCTGCGCGCCGCCAACCCCCAGGGGCCGAAGGCAGCGAAATACCTCCCGCCGTGATTGTTCTCACGACGCGACGGAGGTCCGGGTGCCCCCTCTCTGCGCGCCGCCAGTCAGGGCCGAGCACGCGCCTCTCGGGTTGTGGCTCTCGTGAAGTCGGGTTTGTCCTTCAACAGGAGGAATATGCAATTCAAATATAGTTTTAAGATAGTGCCGGAACGATTTTCCCAAGCCATCCTGTGGTGTTGGGTCTTTGTGTTGAAGAGACGGCCCCCAGCGTTCCTCACCTCACCTCCCGCGCTCCTCCCCCTCCTCCCTCCTGCCATCCTTCATGTCGGAACACTCCGCACACGGTTCTTGGCCCCATAGGGAGCCCCACCGAAGGCCCCAGTGGTACAGTTTACATTCGCTCCCGCCACCCATGTCGGCACACCCCTCACACGGTTCGTGGCTCCATAGGGAGCATCCCCCCCCTATTGTGTTGATCTTGGCTGTTTGTATACCTGTGTTATTCTTTTTGTAAGTCTCTTTTTTCTCTCGACGAAGGCCCCAGCGGGTGTGGCGGGGGGGTGGGGGGGAGAGTGGTGGAGTACGGCACAGCGTTGGTGGGGGGGGGGGGGGGGGGGGGGATGGATGGTGGGGGGGGGTTTAGGGGTGGAGGGGGGGGGGGGGGGGGGGGGGGTGGGGGAGTGGGCGTGGTTTGGAGTGGGGGTTGTGGGGGTGTTTTACTGATGTGGGGGTTGTTTTTTTTTTTTTTTTGTTATTTGTGTATTTTGTATTGTTTTTTTTTTTTTTCGTGTTTGGTTTTCTTTTCTGTTGTTTTTTTTGGTTTTTTTTTTTCTTTCTTGTTTTTTTTTTTTTCTTTATTGTTAGGGAGAGATGCAAGTTTTGTTTTTTTTACATGCGTCCTCGCACCAATTTCGGCACACCCTCACACGTTTCGGGGCCCCATAGGGCGCTCCACCGAAGAACCCAGTGGTACAGTTTACATGCGTCCCCGCCACCCATTTCGGCACCCCCCCACACGTTTCGTGGCCCCACCAGAAGCTCCACCGAAGGCCCCAGCGGCACAGCTTACATGCGTCCTCGCCACCAATTTCGGCACACCCTCACACGTTTCGGGGCCCCATGGGGCGCTCCACCAAAGAATCCAGTCGTACAGTTTACATGCGTCCCCGCCACCCAGGCCGGCACAAACCTCACAGGGTTCGTGGCCCCGTAGGGAGCTCCACAGAAGGCCCCAGTGGCACAGTTTACATGCGCCCCCGCCACCCATGTTGGCACACCCCTTACGCGGCTCGTGGCCCCATAGGGAGCTCCACCAAGGGTCCCAATGGCACAGTTTACGTGCGTCCCCGCCACCCTTTTCGTCACATCCCTCACGCGCTTCGTGGCCCCATAGGGAGCTCCACCGAAGGCCCCAGCGGCACAGCGTACATGCGTCACCGCCACCCATTTCGGCACACCCCTCACGCGATTCGTGGCCCCACAGCAAGTTCCACCGAAGGCCCCATTTGCACAGTTCACGTGCGTCCCATCCACATATTTCGGCACACCCCTCGCACGTTTCGCGGCCCCCGTAGAAAGCTCCACTGAAGGCCCCAGTGGTTCAGTTTACATGCGCCCCCGCCACCCAGGTCGGCACACCCCTCACACCGTTCGTGGCCCCCGTAGGATGCTCCACCGAAGGCCCCAGTGGCTCAGTTTACATGCGTCTTCGCCACCCATTTCGGCACACCCTTCACACGGTTCGTGGTCCCATAGGGAGCTCTACCGAAGACCCCAGCACGTGAATTGTGCCACTGGGGCCTTCGGTGGAGCTCCCGATGGGGCCACGAACCGTGTGAGGGGTATGCCGAAATGGGCGGCGGGGACGCATGTAAGCTGTGCCGCTGGGGCCTTCGGTGGAGTTTCTGATGGGGCCACGAAACGTGTGGGGGTGTGCCGAAATGGGCGTCGGGGACGCATGTAAACCGTGCCGCTGGGGCTTTCGGTGGAGCTTGCTGTGGGGCCACGAACCGCGCGATGGGTTTGCCGACATGGGTGGCGGGGACGAAAATAAACTGTGCCACTTCCGAAGACCCCAGTGGCGCAGTTTACGTGCGTCCTCGCCACGCACGTTAGCACACCCCTCGCACGCTTCATAGCCCCACAGCAAGCTCAACTGAAGGCCCCAGTGGCTCAGTTTACATGCGTCCCCGCCACCCATTTTGGCACACCTGTCGCACGCTTCGTGGCCCTAGAGAAAGCCCCACCGAAGGCCACAGTGGCTCAGTGTATTACATGCGCCCCCGCCACCCACTACGGCACGCCTCTCACGCGGTTCGCGACCCCACTGGGAAGCTTTTCTTGTTTGTTGTTCGTTTGTGGTTGTTGGATTAGTTTTCAGGGTGTATTTTTGGTGTTTTTCTTTTCTTCTTTGTTTTTTCTTCCTATGGGCTCTTATTCTTCTTTTTTTGTTTTTTTTTTTTGTTTATATTTTGTTGTTTCTCTTATATTATTTTCTCTTGCGTTGGATCGAGAACGTTCTTTTTAATTGTATTTTCTATTTCTATTTTATTTGTTTGTTCTTCTTGTATTCATTTGATTATTCTCTAATTTTAATTTATTGTATTTTTCCTTTTTTTTTATTTCTTTTTGTATTTTTTCTTTCGTTTTTTTTATCTTCGAATTGTGTTTTTATCTTGTTTTTTTCTTGTCTTTTTTTTTTCTGTGTTCTTTGTAGTTTTTCACCGAAAGCCCCAGCGGCTTAGTTTACATACGTCCCCGCCACCCATCGTGGCCCCATAGGGAGCTCCACCGCAGGCACCAGGGGTACAGCTTACATGCGTCACCGCCACCCATGCCGGCACACCCCTTACTCGGTTCGTGGCCCCATAGGGAGCTCCATCGAAGGTCCCAGCGACGCAGTTGACATGCGTCCCCGCCACCGAGTTTGGCACACCCCTCACAGGGTTCGTGGCCTCATAGGGAGTGCCACCGAGAACCCCAATGGAACAGTTTACATGCGCCCCCGCCGCCAATTTCGGCATACTCCTCACACGGCCCGTGGCCCCACAGGGAGCTCCACCGAAGGTTCCAATGGCACAGTTTACGCGAGTCCCCGCCACCCATTCCGGCACATCCCTGACACACGTCGTGTCCCCATAGGGAGTTCCACCGAAGACCCCAGTGGTACAGTTTACGTGCGTCCCCGCTACCCATTTCGGCACACCCCTCACGCGGTTTGTGGCCCCACCGCAAGCTCCACCGAAAGCCCCAGCGGTACAGTTTACATGCGTGCGGTTCGTGGCCCCATAGGGAGCTCCACCGAAGGCCCCAGCGGTACAGTTTACATGCGCCCCCGCAATCCCTGTCGGCACACCCCTCACACGGTTCGTGGCCTCATAGGGAGTTACACCGAAAACCCTACCCACAATTCGGTATTCACAAATTCGTTTGGGGGGTCCTTCGCCAGGAAATTTTTTATCATTATGTCTGGCCATTTGTGAATACAGTTTGGTTATTTTTTGCTATCAAAGTCCATGTCCGACCTGATGCTCGCGCCCTCCCGCACACCGGGCGGGAAAACAGCACACAGACACAAGTCACCGCCGACTCCCAGGAACAAGTGGGAAACTATGGGACGTGGGGGGGGAAGACGAAGACCCAGAACACAGTCGAGCATAATGGGGGATCCTGGCATCTGTAACTATCTCTTTATGTGTCCCTGGGCCCCCTTTGGCAGAGCTGCCCTGCGCCGCCCCCCCCTCGGGTCAGAGGCCTCGAGAGGCTCCTCGCCGCGCTCCACGAGGTGCATGAGGCGCCCGGGCCGCGGGGGGGGGGGGGCTGGGGGGAGGCATGGGGCGGGAGGGGGAGGGCGAAGAGAACTGCAGGGGGGGCAGGGAGGAGGAGGAGGAGGAGGAGGAGGAGGAGGAGGAGGAGGAGGCCGAGGGGGAGGAGGAGAAGGAGGAGGAGGAGGAGGAGTAGGAGGAGGAGGAGGAGGAGGAGGAGGAGGAGGAGATGGAGGAGGAGGTGGAGGAGGGGCAGGGGGAGGGGGGGGGGACGGGAAGGAGGACAAGCTAGGTGCGCTCGCGTCATATCTGACGTCCTACCCCTCCCTCCCACACCTTACCATGGCGTAGTTATCCTCTCTATTCGCACAGTCGGATGTCGAACAGGGCAATGATCGCGAGAAGGTACGCGATGCATGGTAGATCACGGCATGGCATGGCGTAGAAGAGCACGGCCGAGCGTGGCATGCCATAGCATGGCGTGGCATTGCGCAGTAAAGCATTGCATCACACATCGTTGCAACGCAAAGCATGGCATCAGCGGCGCGGAACACAACACCGCACAGCATGTCATGGCATGGCGCCGGGTTCCTTGGAGGGTAAGTGGGTCGTCTTCGAGAGTTTTGGGCCGGTTTGGAGTAATGGCTCCATGTCTAGCTCCTTGGGCTCCCCGACAAACTCCACACAAGGTGGGGCTGATTGAGAGCACCCGCTGGCTCTGCTTTCAACATCACCTTCTCACGGCACAAACGGTGCTCCCGTTCGATACCTCCCGAAAGCGACGGCGGCCCAAATGTTTGGGGGAGTTTTGCGGCCCCAGAAATCAACGAACTGGCACCGAATGTGTAAGACCAAGAACGCCCGCGCTGCAGCGGGAGCATGATTTGGAACAACCAGAGCCGCAGATTGGGGGCCAGCGCTTCAGCGGGAACAACATTTTGAATTTTGAAAAACAAACTCGAGCGAAAACCCATTTCCCGGGAATCCTGTGTGAAAAAAACGCAGCACGCGGAGGGGGGCGGATATTTTCCGAACCTCATGAGGGGAGAGGAGAGTAGTATTCATATTGTTGTGCAGTTGTAGGAGGAGGAGAAGAAGGGGAGGAGGAGGAGGAGAAGGTCCAGTGTAAACCCAAGAGGCATCCACGATGTTGGGATACAACCTCCCTCCAAGTTCCCTCGTCTGAGGCCCCATACAACGGTCTATTTTTCTGCGGGAACTGCCTCGTTGTAATACAACGAAGTGTTTGAGAACCATGGAGCATGCCGAAACACTATTCTCGGGATTCCAACGCCACGGATCAACCTGACTGTTGCGTCTTGACGACTCGGAATTGTGCCAGACGCCATTCTTGCGACTTGAACAGCACGAGCCAACTTTGTTTGTGAACCCTCATAAGCCTGACCCCGTCCAAAGCGCCGTGTCTGGTTTGGTGGTCATGGGAATCCGCGAAGCTCTTGCGACATGTTAAAACGAATGTGCGCTGCGCTAAGGCGACCAGCCGCATTTTGAAAGGAACCGCCCTCCACCTGTGAAGCTCTTGCAAAGTTTAAACGAGTGTTCGCGGCACCCAGGAAAGAACCACATGTTTTAAACGACTCTCCCTCAATCCGTGAAGCTCTTGCGAACTCTTAGAAACCTATGTGGGCGGCGCTGAGGCGAGAACCACATTCCGAAAACCACTCGCCCCCAATTCGTGAAACTCTTGCAATTGTGTAAGACGGCTGTGCGCGGCGCTTAGGCGAGAGCCACATTTTGGAGACTCGCCCTCAAATAGTGAAACGCTTGCAATATTCAAAAAACGAATGTTCGCGGCGCTAAGGCGAGAGCCGGATTTTGAGAACGACCCGCCCTCCATCTGTGAAATTGCTGCCACTGTTTAAGCTTCTGAATCATAAATGGTGAAGAGGTCTTAGGCGAATCGCACGGCCAGCCCTAAAAATAAGCTTCGGGGTGCGACAGGGAAAAATATTTATAAGGAGAAGGAATGGAAAAAAGGAAAAGGATAAGGAGGAGGAGGAGGAACAAGGGGAGGGGGAGGAGGAAAAGGATTCCAGTTGGAGGAAGTAACAGGAGGAGGGAGCAGGAGGAGGAGGAGGACGAGAAGGAGGGAACAGGAGGAGAGTGTAGAAGGGGGAGGAGGAGAAGGGGACAGCGAATAGGAGGAGGAGGAGAAGGAGGAGGAGGAGGAGGAGGAGGAGGAGGGCGGAGCAGAAGGAGGAGGAGGAGGAGGAGGAAAACCATGGGCCGGTGAGCTGGCGGGCAACGCCATGGGGTGCGCCTGCGTGGGTCACGCTGCTCCGCGTTACCTTTCGCGGCATGCTTTTCGGAGCAGTCGTTGGCCCTATCTCTCGTGAAGTGCAAAACGCGATCGAGAGCCGCCAATCGAAGAGGCATTCACTCGACTATCCCAAGTAACCCCGTGCCCCGGAGACTGCTACGGGAGAAAGCTACTAGTACGGGTCCTGGTACCACTACGACTACTTCTACGACCACCATTACAACTAGTATCAATGTTACTACTGCTACTACTGCTACTACTACTGCTACTTCCACTATTACGACGATTACTATGATAATTGCTACTACGACTGCTACTACTACTACTACTACTACTACTACTCTCTATTACTACTACGAACGACATTATACTACTACTCCTACTACTAGTACTACTACTATTATACTTTATTGAGTATACTTACTTACTACTTACTACTACTTACACTACTACCTACTACTACTACTGACTTACTACGCGTCGACGACGGGACGACGACGACGACGACGACGACGCCGACGACGACGACGACGCGACGACGACGACGACGACGACACTACTACTATATTTTACTCCTACTCTGCTGCTGTGCTGTGCTGATACTGCTTCGTACTACAGTTTGAATATACTATACTACTACTAATCCACTATACTACTACTACTACTACTTACTACGAAGGACGACCGACGCCGAACGACGACGACGACGACGAATATGGACGACGACGACGACGACGACGACGACGACGACGACGACGAGACGACGACGAAGACGACCTACGACTACGACTGCTACTACTACTACTACTACTACTACGACTACTACTACTACTACTACTGCTACTGCTACTGCTACTGCTACTGCTACTGCTACTACTACTACTACTACTACTACGACGACGACGACGACGACGACGACGACGACGACGACGACGACTACTACTTCTACTACTACTAATACTAGTACTAGTACTAGTACTAGTACTAGGGCTACTACTTCTACTACTACTACCACTACTTCTACTACGAGTACCCGTATGGCTTCTACGTCTACTATTATCACTACTATTCTAAATAATAATCATACTTCTTTATTTGTACTACTACTGTTACTGCGACTGGTACTATTAGTGCTGCTGCTATTGCTACGACTCCTTCGACTACAACTACTACGACGACTACTATTACTGCTGCTACAACTACTACTATGACGACTGCTATGGCTACACTCATTTGGTTTGTTGTTATTACTACTACTAATGTAACTAGTGCCACTAATAGTTCTTCTTCTGCGATTATTTCAAACACTACTGTCGCTACTACTTCTACAGCCAGAACTCGTACTACTACTAATACTACTACTACTACTACTACTACTACTACTACTACTACTACTACTTCTACTACTTCTACTACTACTTCTACTACTACTACTACCACAACTACTACTACCACTACTACTACCACTTCTACTACTACGACTTCTGCTTCTACTACCACGACTTTTAGGAATGTGATTACCACTGCTACTGGTACGACTGCTACCACTACTGCTACTACTACGACTACTACTATTAATACGACGACGACTACTACTACTACTATTACTACTACTACTACTACTACTACTACAACTACTACTACTAGTATTATTACTACTACTACTACTACTACTATTACTACGACTACTACTGCGACAACTACGAGGACTACGAAAACGACCATTACTAGTACTACCGCTACTACTTCTACGACAATGTTTGGTGACTACTAGTCGTATCGCGACTACTGTTGCTGCGGCTACTACTACGGCCACTACTTCTACTGTCTCTACTATTATTATTATTGCTACTACTATTACTTCCACTACTACTACTATTACTACTACGACTACTGATTTTTTTATGACAGGAACGATTACCACTACTGCTACTACAGCTACTACTACTGCTATCAGGATTGGTATTAGTTGTGCTACTACAATTGTTTCTATTACTTCCACTATTACCACTGCCACAATGTTTAATACTACTACCAGTACCAGTACCACCACCACCACCACCACTACTAGTACTACTATTACCCCTTCTTCTCTCACTACCAGGAATAGTTTTCATATCACTACGATAATCAACCGTATTACAGTTATGAGTATTACTAATCTTACGACTACTAGTCGTACTACCACTACTACGGCTACTACTATTACTATTACTACTACTGTTAATGTTACCACTGCTGTCGCGACTACTACTACTTCCACTAGTACTACTACTACTACTACTACTGCTACTACTCATACCACCGCGTCTACGACTACCACAACTACGACTATTACGACTACTATGTGTATTATTGCTACTGTTACTATTACTACTACTAGTACTTATGTTACCACTGCGACTGCGACTACGACGACGACTACTATTTCTACTGCTGCTTCCACTGCTTCTGCTACTACTTGTATTACTACGATTACCATTACTACTACGACTACGACTACTTTTAGTACTACTACTATTACTACTACCACTGGTACTACTACTACTACTACTACTACTACTACTACTACTACTACTACTACTACTATTACTACTACTACGACTACTACTACTACTACTGCTTCGTTTACTACTACTGCTGCTACGATTACCATTACTACTACGACTACGACTACGACTACTACGACTACTACGACTACTACTACCACTACTACTACTACTACTACTACTACTACTACTACTACTA